ATACTGTATGCTTTAGGGGAAAAGAAACATAAATTCCACACACTCTTTCAGAGAAAGTTGAATTTGAAGGAATTCTTTCCAGGTCATTATGTGAGGCTAGAATTACCCTGGTACTAAAATCAAGTAAGGAAAGGACAGTACAGACTAAGGTTTTCTCATGAATATTGACACAAAAGTTCTTAGCAAAATATTAGTAAATCCAATCTAGCAAGGCACAGTTGCAAGATGGCCAACTAGTTTCATTACAGGTGTACAAAGCAACTGAAAGATAGAGAGATCTGTGTTACACACCAAATGTCAGTGTGATGCATGAAAGAATGAAGAAAAAAAAATCCTCATCTTGATAAACCCAGGAAAAGCATTTGACCAATTTCAACATGTATTCATATTCTACAGGAAATAGGAATTTAAAGAAATTTTATCAATCCAAATAAAAGCATTTATGAAAAATTTATGACTAAAGTCATATCAAATGCTGATCATGCCTTGACCAAGAGAAAATTTTCAATTGTGGCAATCTTCTCAAATGAAAATTAGACAAGCACAGAAGTCAATTTTGAGTGGTCGGTGGCAGCAGCCCTGCCGGGGCACTCCACACGGGCTGTGCAGCACTGCAGAGGTGATGGGGGGCCCAAAAGGCCATGGGTATAAATAAGCCCCAGAACGCAGAGCAGAAGTGAACACCAGAGAGTCCTGAGGCTCCTTGATGGAAATTGAAGCCCATTGGAAAAGTGAAGAAAATCTCTGCAATCAAGGCACACTGGACCACCATGGTTGGTAAGTTGGAGGATCAGCACCTCCCATAGAAACCCAGACTTGGGGAGGTGGGGAGAAAGGAACCCTTTTCCATTGTTGGTGGGAGTGAAGACTGGTGCAATCACTATGGAAATCAATATGGAGATACCTGAAAGAGCTAGGATTAGAGGTTCCATTTGACCCAGCCATCCCTCTGCTGAGTATCTTTCCAAAAGAATTAAAATAATCATACCACAGTGATATATGCACACCTATGTTTATAGTAGCACAGTTTGTAATAGCTAAAACTTGGAAACAGCCCATTTGCCCATCAGTTAGAGACTGGATAAAGAAGATGAAGTTTTTCTATAAAATGGAATACTACTCAGCCATAAAGAATGAGAAATTAGAGTCATTCATAGGAAAATGGATACATATTGAGGATATACTCCTAAGTGAAATATATGTCACACATGTAAATACCGAATAGTTTCTCTGGTGTGAAAAACTATAATGGTGCATAAGATCCCAATGATATAATTGACAATGTGAAATAAGAAAATGGCTAAAGGTATAGGGGAAGTGTGAAGGGTAGGGCAAAGGAAATAAGGGAAAAGAAAAAAAACATGAGAAAATGAAAAAATGGAAATAAAGTATTTGTAAATAGGGAAGGGAGGAGGGGGTGAAGGGAGGGGAAAAGTGAGAACCAAGTCCTGTCATGTAAAGGTACAAAATCCCAATGATGAATGTAACTGTGCTGTATACCTAAAATGTACCAATAAACTCAATGTGAGAAAAAAAGAAAAAGAAACCTAGACTCACTGAGAGGGGAGGACTGCTGGAACCTGCAGTGGAACCTTGCAGAGTTCAATGCTGCAGGAGGTCAGGAACCTCAACATGTGCCTTGCAGGCAGAAATAAGCCTGAATCTCAGTAGACTACAGCTAGCTTGCTGAGAGTAATTGACTTAGACCTGCACACTGCTGCCCACATTGTCTACCAGGACAGCAGAGACATATCCTGAGGGAGGCCCTTTTAGTTTTATGGGGGTGTTGGATTTTTTCTCCTCTCTCTCTCTCTCTCTCCTTCCCTCCTTCTTCTGCATTTCTCTCCCTTTTTGTTCCTATTCCTTTCTGTCCCATTTCAGACTGTTTCACTCTCTGTCCTTCTCTTGACTGTCACTATTCTTATAAGGTGAATACAGTTTCTCATTTCCCTATTGCTATTAGTTTGGTATTTTCTTGTTTCTGTTGTTTCACTCTTTCTTTTACTCCTGTCTTCAACAGTTTCCCAAAATTTGTATGATCTTCCCTTGTCATCTAGCCTCAATTCTAACCTTTTCCTCTCCTTCTATCTCTCTATCCCACCCTCCCCGATTCTTTCTAAATCCTGATCCTGAAGGGTAAATTTGCTATATTGAAGAGTTTATTTACTATGAACATATTTTGGGCTGGCCCTCAATTTTGATCTAGCTCACATAGTTAAAGGTGAACAATTAATAGCTACAACAAATTGTCATTTTCTAAGCTGCGTTTGATGCTATTGTTGATGCTGATTGTGTCAATTGGGCTAAGGTGCCCTGATTGATCTAATCAGTTGTCCTCTTTGGTATACCGGAAATGAGACTGTCTAAGATTCATTAGAGACTTGAAGCCTAAAAAGACCAGCTGTATCTGGAAGACATCTCTGAGAAGCAATCACTCCACAAGGGCTCTATACACGAGTAATAAAGATACTCATAATAAGCAATACTGAAGTATCATTCCAGGAATTAAACCAAAAAACAGCACCAACAACGAAATTAGAAATGAGAAAACACTTAAGAAAGGTTCAAACACAGACTTTCAGCTCACCAAAAGCAAATTCTGGGTAAAACGGGGTGGGGGGGGAGTCTGATAATCAACCACCTGGACACCCTGAACTGATACCACAGGAAGCAAATAGGAAAAGCAATTCTAGGCAACAAAGACATGGCAGTGGGTATCACGATCCCCAACTTGAAACTATACTACAAAGCCACTGTGATTAAAAACAGCATGATACTGGCAAAGAAACAGATGTGAGGATCAGTGGAATAGGTGAGAATATGCAGAAACAACTCCATACATACTCAGCCACCTCATCTTTGACAAAGGAGCCAGCCATTCTCACTGGAGGAAAGATAGCCTCTTTAATAAATGACATTGGAAAAACTGGATTTCAACATGCCAGTTTTATAGATTAAAACTATACCCATATCTATCACTATACACTAAACTAAACTTCAAGTGGATTGAGGATCTAAATATTGAAAGAGAAACAGTAAACTTGATGGAGGATGTTAGGAAGAACTCTTGAAGATATTGGAATAGAAAAAGATTTAATGAACAAAACCACAGTAGCACAGGAACTAGCACAAAAAAAAATCAACAACTGGGATCTTATCTTATTAAAAAGCTTCATACTGCAAGAGAAACCACCAACAGAGCTAGCAGAAAACCTACAATATGGGAAGAAAATATTTATCATCTGTTCCTCATACAAAGCACTACTATCTAGAATATATAAAGAACTCAAAAAAGTCAGACCACACCAATATAAAGATCCAATTCAAAAATGGGAATCTGAAGTAAACAGACATTTCTCAGACAAAGAAGTAAAAGCAGCAAATAAATGTATAAAAAGTACAGGTCATTCAAGAGATACAGATAAAAACAACACTGGGCTTCCACCTCACACCAGAAATAATGGCTGCTATCACAAGATCAACCAATAACAAATGTTGGTGGGGTTATGGAGAGAAAGGAACCCTTTTCCATTGTTGGTGGGAGTACAGACTCGTGCAACCACTGTGGAAATCAATATGGAGAAATCTCAAAGAGCTTGGATTAGAGGTTCCATTTGATCCAGCCATCCCTCTGCTGGGTATCTTTCCAAAAGAATTAAAAGAATCAAATCACAGTGATACATGCTCACCCATGTTTATAGCAGCCCAGTTGGTAATACCTAAAGCTTGGAAATAGCTCAAGTGCCAATCAACTGGAGACTGGATAAAGACGTTATTTTTTTATAAAATGGAGTACTATTCAGCCATAAAAACAATAAACTGGAGACATTTATAGCTAAGTGGTTGCACATCAAGGTGATACTCTTCAGTGAAATAAATAGGACACACATGTGTAAATATTAGGTAGTTTCTCTGGTTTGAGAAACTGAAAGTGTAAATAAGGACCAAAAGGTATAATAAATAATGTAAAATAGGAAGAAAAGGTCCAAAGAGGTAGGGGAATTGGGAGGGGTAGGAGGGAAAGGAAAGAAGGGAAAGAAAAATATGAGAAAAGAAAAAAATGGAGCCAAAGTCTTTGTAAATAGGGAGGGTGGTGGAGTTGAAAGAAGGGCAGGGGAGTGGGGAAAAATAAGAACAAAGATGCATCATGTAAAGGTACAATTTCCCAATGATAATTGTAAATGTATTGTGTAAAATGAACCAACAAAAGAATTTAAGAAAACAAAAAGAAGTTAACTTTGAAAATATTATTGATTTGTTTGTTTCCATTAAATAAAAAAAGAAAAAATATAATAAATTCTTGTTTGGGTATTATTCAAAATTTTTTTAAAAAGTGAAATTTAAACATTATTTTTCAGTTTTCTAGTATTTAAATACTAAGTATTTAAGTTCTAAAACCTATAACTGTTTTAAAGATACACCGGACAGATACTTCTCCTTCTGGTCATATTTCTTTTTTTTTTCTTCATTGAGTTTATTGGTACATTTTAGGTGTACAGTACAGTTACATTCTTCATTGGGATCTTGTACCTTTATATGACAGGTCTTGGTTCTCATTTTTCCCCATACCCCTGCCCTCCCTTCACCCCCTCACCCTCCCCTATTTACAAAGATTTTGTTTCCATTTTTTTCATTTTCTCATTTTTTCTTTTCCATTATTTCCTTTGCCCTACCCTTCCAACTTCCCCTACACCATTAGCCCTTTACTTCGTATTTCACATTGTCAGTTATACAATTTGGATCTTATTTACCCTTTTAGTTTTTCATACCAGAGATCTATTCGGTATTTACATGTGTGTGTCTTATTCATTTCCCTTAAGAGTATGGTCTCAGTATGCATCTATTTTCCTATGAATGACTCTAGTTTCCCATTCTTTATGGCTGAGTAATACTCCATTTTATAGAAAAACTACATCTTTATCCAGTCTCCAACTGGAGGGCAATTGGGCCGTCTCCAAACTTTAGCTATTACAAACTGTGCCGCTATTAACATGGGTGCGAACAATGTGGAATGCTTCACGAATTTGTATGTTATCCTTACACAGGGGCCATACTAGTCTTCTCTGTATGGTTCCAAATCTAGTATATATGCTGCCAAAGGAGCACTGGGGCCATCCTCTTGTGCACGGGGAGAGTGTTGGAATAGGAGTCGCTCAGCTTGCTTTGGGACTGCGGAGGAGACAGGGATTTGGGCTGGGCAGCCTTGCGGTCAGCCCAGGATTGTAGTCCTCGCTTTCCGGGCCTGCAGTGCCATTCCTGTTGGGCGCGTTCTCCTGAGAAGACATCCACCCCCACTTTAGATTGTTTCGCAGGTACATAAACTGATGAGTGTTCTTGTGCATACTCAGGAGTCTCTCTGCAGGTCTCAAGAGTCCTCTCTGGGCATCTCTTTCCTGTCCCATGAGAGGTGTGAGTGAAAATCACAATGTATGTTTACATTTTTAAAAATTTATTATAGTACAAGACATATTGCCATGAATCCCCCTCAAAATACTCCTTGTTTATTCAAACACACTTACACCGTCTGTCAAAAGCAGTTCCAGTGGTCTTCTTTTCTGAGTTTCTCTATGTGGCAGAGGCAGTGAATGCTGTTTCTAAGTGCCATCCCACCACAGGTAGGGTCATGTGCTCTCACCCACCTCATTCACCAGACCCAGCGCTGTGAGAGTCCTGGCTCTTCCCCAAAGACAAAAGGGTCATGAAAGGTAAACATTTTACATCCATTCAGAATGTCAAGACGGCCATGATAGTGCAGCTAAAGACATTCATGAGAAAGGACTTCAGAAAGTGGCAAGGATGAGGGGACACGTGCATTCAAACTGAGGGGGGACAGGGCCGGGGCTTTAGCTCAGTGGTTCTGCCACCCGCCTCGCAAGAAAAAGTCCTGAGTTCAATCCCCAGTACCAAAAAAAAAAAAGCAAACTTAGGGGGGATGTATTGAGGGGGATTAACAGCGATGATCCTCTATCATAATAATTTTTAAAATTTAAATATTCACTATATATTTCGATCATGTCACACACTCTTCCGGGAAGACTTGCTTCCTTAACCTCCCGGACTTGGAGGTCTGTGTCACTGGGCTTTGCCTGATTTCCCCTCCACGTTAGGGTTCTCTGGAGAAGCAATAGGATGTACATGTGCATATGGATATATATGAGATATACAAATATATAGGATGTATTTATACCTACAGTTTTTTATTTTTTGGTACTGGGTATGGAACTCAGGCCCTTGTGCTTGTGAGGCAGGCTGAGCAGAAACACTAAGGCAAATCTCTGCCCCGAGGATATATTTATGTATTATATAAAAATATGATTTATTGTGAAGAATTGGCTCATGAGAGTAAGGAATATACTCACAGTGTGCTCTGTCCAAGCTGGGGATCCAGGAAAACCAGTGATGTAACTGAGTCTGAGTGCAAAGGCCTGGATGAGCCAGTGTTGTAAATCTCTGTCCAGGGTCGGGACAGGACTGATGTCCCAGTCCAAGTGGGCACGCAGGAAGTGGGCCTAATCTTGTTGCCCTCGGCTTTTTAATTTATTCACAGACTGAGTGAGACCCACTCACATTTAGTCCCCCAATTCAAATGTTGAGCTCATCCTGAATACCCTGAAAGACACTCAGACATAATGTATAACCTGAGCAACTGGTCAGGCTGACACATAAAATTAACCCTCACACCCTCATGTTTCACGGCCAGGAAACTTCCACAGGCAGCAAGCTGGGGAGACCATAAAACTCCCCTCCTCTATTTCCTTGCTCCCTCAGGGACCACTGCCTTTGATACCGAGTACCTTGAGACCATTTTTGTATCTATTTGATTGTTTCTGGTAAGAATGTAATCTGGTTCTTCTTACTCCACTGTTATCTTAATTACTTTTCTTGTTGCCAAGACCAAATACCCAACACCCAAAGTTAAGGGAGGAAAGGTTTATTTAGCTCACAATTTATAGATGTTTCAGTCCATAATCGACTGGCTCCAGGGAAGGGTGGCACTGGCAGAGGGACATTGCAGGGAGAAACAGTTCATGGCACGCAGAAAGCAGCAAAGCACACAAGGGATGACCACAGCTCCCTCTCTTATATCTTATCCAGGCCACTTAGGGCAGGCAGCACTCACACTCTTCATCCTAGTACCCTGGGTCCTACATTGTGCCATGAATCAATCCCAGCATCACACACTCTAGATCCAGCAGCTCTGAAAAAGCCCCACCTATGAACACGTGAGGCTTTGGAGAGACATCTACAGATAAAGCATAGCAGTTATGGACAGATGTAAACCTTCCAAAAGCTAATGTGTGCATTTTAACTAAGAAATATAGAGATACTTATATATAAGAGATTTAACTTTTCATATTCAATCCACAAGGAATTCATTTTTATGTATGAGATGAAGTAGATTTATAATTTTTTAAGTTTTGTGTCACATAGAGCTGGATAACATTCTAGTTTTCCCTCTATCCCGCCGTGTGAACATAGGAACTCTTGGTTTCTCTCAGAGTGTCAGTGTTCCCAGTGGTAAAAAGGCCAAGATAGCATCCACTTATGGTATTATTATTTAAATAGAACAGTTCGTATCACTTCCACAATACAATGCCAGGTATAAAGTAAGGCTCCAAAGTACTGGCTTCATGTTTGCTGTCTTCTCAACACTATGAACTGTATCTATCCCTAGAACAAAGAGCAGGGCCCAGACTGTCGTCCACCTCTGTATTTATCATCCACACCACTCATCTTTTTGGCTAATGGCTTCCTTCATGATGAATGATTACTAACAGCAGGAGCTGAGGTTATTGCCCCCCATTAGATGTTGCCAACGCTATGGTATTAAGAGGTGAGGCCTCAATGGAGTGATTAGGGTAGGAGGGCTCCTCCCTCCCAAGTGGGATCAAAGGCTTTATAAAAGAGGCTTTCAACAGCTTTTGGCATTCTTACCTTTTATCTTTCCATCAGGTGAGGACACAGCATTCCTCCCCTCTAGAGGATGGTAGGAGCAAGCACTATCTTGGAAGGAGAGATCAGCCCTCACCAGACAAAGAACCTGCCTGCACCTTGAACTTGGACTCCCCTGCTTCCAGAACTTCGAGAAATAAATTCCTAGTTTGTAAGCACACCCAGCCTCGGGCATTTTGTTATAGCAGCACAGAGACTCAGACAAGAGCTTTAGTTTAAGACTGATGCAATGTCATGCACAATTTTTGGAGGAACAAAGATAGGCCAAAATTCTGAAAAATCTTGCCAAGTATATTGCAACACAAACCCCTTATTCCCCAGTAACTTTTGCCCCCCTTCCCCCGCTGTGTACTGTCTGTGATATTCAAACTGAACAAGTGCTCTCTGGATCCACACAACCCTTTAAGATTTCAGAACCTAACAGACTAATATATCAAAGGACAGCATCTGGTTAAGGTCTTTCGGGGAACGAGTAGCAGACTTGTCTTTCAAGGAGAGCACTGTGTGTTTATTGTGGCTGGGGGGCAGATGAGTGGGAAGAGGAAGGATAATAAAAGAGTGACTAAAATATGCCCCCTCCACGCACAGCAACAGTGCTCCAGGGGCATGAGGCGCTTTCGCTGCCAAATCCAAACCAGTCAACTCCACACGAGTGATTTAGAAACAGAGAACGTGGAAATGAAGGCTAAAGACTGATAAGTGCTGCTTACTTAGTGGAATATCAGCTAAGAAACAAGATTGGAATCCTGCCTATCTCTCCAACACTGACAAAGGGAAAGAAATTCACCGGGCCGGGGTGGGGGCGTTCCACAGAGCTCAGTGGGTTTGGATTGGCTGTTGCATGAATCATTAATTTTTCCCTCAGAATGATCAAGAGTGTCATTAGCATGCATTAAGCATCATCTAACAGGGCCAGGGCCCAGGGAGGAGGACTCTGCTCTCTCCCTCTGCTATTGCATAATCGATGCAGATTACTCAAAGCTGCTGGCAGAATCTCCTCACCCCATTAGCACCAGACCTGGCTCACTCCTGTCCAGACCTTTATCTTTTTCCCAGTTCTTTCCCCTGGGGATGGAGACCCATCCTCACAGCAGCGAGACCTCCAGGCTGTCCAAGGCAGCTGCCATCAAACTCCTGCGTGCTGCTGAACTGGGGCAGGTAGAGAAGTGTGGCGGACATCTTTTCTTTATAGGTTTTATCAACAAAGTATTTTGGAGCCGGGTTTTGGGGTCGCCCCTGCCATGACTCCTTCCCTTCCCCTTTCTTTCATCTTGGCTTCAAACCCCTCTTGTGCATACCCGTCTGCCTCGCTCTCTCGGACCTGCTTCCCCCAACCCTTTCTCTCTCATGCTTCTGGAAACCCCCGGCTCTCTGCTCTCTCCCTCATCTTCCCGGCTCATTCTCTGTCCCTTCAGATGAGGTCACCCTGACTGAATGAAGGACAGGAGGCTCTGAAGAGGTCAGGCATTAGCACTGCTATAACTGCGCTGCTCCTGAGACTGGGCGAGCCCATCCATCACGACTCCACCACTCCATTAGGCCTCACATGAAATATGCCCTGCTCTGCATTGCGCGGCCATACATCTCCCGGTCTAGACACCTTCCTGTTGTGTGAAGATCAATGCCGCTCGGTCATGCATCATGTGTCATCCAGTAGCCCTCACTCTAATAACCGTGTCTATTCTCTAGTCTGCAGTATAAATTATGGCACTGGGAAAGTACTATATTATTCAGCAACCTTGGTCACTAATGGATTATTGGGTTTATTGGCTGATAATGTGAGCTCCCTTTCTTTCTCTCTCCTTTTATTTTTTCTCCTATTTTTGGCTGAATCTCACTTTTATTTATTTATTTTTCTCTATTTTTATTTTATTTGGTTCAGCTTTGAGTGATGGCTGCTTTAGAATTCTGTCAACCTACTCCCATATCAAACCCCTAAAATGATAATGCTTTACAATAAGCCCAATTAGAAAGAACTCTCCATGGTCACCTATTAGATAATGGGCTGCATCAAAGCCGGCTGTTTATCCTTATGTCTCCTGGGGTTTCTGCAATGAGGCCTTTAGATTAAGGGCAGTTTTAGAGAGCCAAAGGGAGGCTGGGCACCTAGGACCTCCTGTGTCTGTTGGGGCTCTTCCTCCTAGAATCCCCTC